TTGGTTATCCTCCTAGTACGCTAATAGGGCGGACAGCTGCATAGTAGGAACAGAGGATCTCCGACTCTCTAGCTTCTAATACTGGCTATACATACCTTGATATATACCTGATACAGCTGATGACTCACAAATTGGAGGTTGGCTATCCTCCTAGTACGCTAATCGGGCGGAAAGCTGCATAGTAGGAACAGAGGATTCTCGGCTCTCTACTTTCCAACATAGATGTTCCCATACACTCAAGCATACTACGATGAAATACTGTGCAACCTCATGAAGACCTGTAGTAGTAAAAAGTTCATACCTAGCTCCCAAAGTCCCCGTGCAATTGGGCTTGTACGGCGTCTGCTTCAACCAGGGCTGAGCAGGGAGGGTAGATCTACCCGCCTAGACCGGGTGCCTGCAACCGTTGTCTGGTCAGGTCATCCTTCCAATATATGGCAATGGGTGATGGTCCCGGGTGGTTAACACTAGGGCAAGACAGGGGGGGTAGGGGTGCGACAGGGTAGAAAATGATATGAGGAAGGGTGGGTGGGGTCTTCAAGAGGGGTTCAGTTGGACAACCAAGTGGCCGAGTACTGTGGATAACTGTCATTGGTCTAGTATCCTGCCTCTACAACCTGGGCTTTTTCTTTATAAAAAAAAAAAAAAAAAAAAAACAATGACTAATCAGGGTTGAGACTCTGGGTCTTCTCTACTCAGGAATCATACTCCCCAAATAGTAACCTTGACCTGGAAAACGCTCGGTACCCTCTGAAGCCTTGAACCCTGAACCTGTAACAACAAGGGTCAATAAATCAAGGAACGCAGCCTCCTCGGTCTCCCACGCCTTTTCGATTCTGAAATGTCCAACTCAAGGACCGCAGTCTCCTAGGAGGACCGTAGACTTATAACGCGAAGAGTTGAGGAGATGAGACTTAGTAGGAGGGGGCTATGGTCCGTTAGGTTTGGGGGGGGGACGAATCAGGTGGGATTCCGTTGTAGTTGGGGATCTTGGGGGGGTCAGCCACTACGCAGGGGAGGGGTTAAGTAGGAGGGCCGTAGACTTATAACGCGAACAGTCGAGGAGATGAGACTTAGGAGGGGGCTATGGCCGGTAGGATAGATTACCTGCTTCCCACACTCGTACAAAAAATGGCTCGCAACCAACAACAATAATGGGCCTCCCTGGACTACTCTTGACATGCGCAAAAGACAAAAATCATGGCCGTGTATCTTTCCATATTCTAGCGGAATATTCACTCTCGTTTTGCACATTTAGGGAGTAGTGCAGCGAGGCCCAATGACAACAGTGTGCACAGCGAACAACCTAACAACGAACAACAGTAGCAACAGCTGTGTACACAACTATAGGAACGCAAAAATAAGGTCCACCTATGGGACTTGTAGCGAAGCGTCTGTACCTAGCACATGAAGTACCTGGGCGACAAGGCTCGCTCAACTATGCTTCGATCGGGGCTGAGTGGGGTATGTGGGACTCTGCTAAGCCCTGGTACCTACAATCACAGTTCGGTCAGGTCACCCCCAGGTTGGAGAGTGATGATACTAAGTGGTAGACACTAAGGTAGGGTAGTGGGGGAGTAGGAGTGCGCGGGGAGAAATTACCAAAGCGGTAGGTTGGGAGGGAGTCCCATAGGATTAGGAGGCCTCTACCACATGGTCAAGTGCTGAAGGTGAATCTCTCATATCTCTATAATCCAGCCTCTAAAACAACCTGCACTTTTTGTTAAAAACAACAACAACAACAACAACAACAACAACAACAACAAGGGCCAAGGTCCCATTAGCAAAAGAGGATCGGATCGAATGCCTGAATGTGGACGGTTGTATGCAGAGATGCAGAAAAGCAGTTCAATCTCGATTTCCTGCAAGTTTCCACAAACACGTCCAGATTCATACATACGATCCGATCGTCTTTGCTAGTGGGCCCACGCCCAAGGTCGTCCTGACTTCTTTTTTCCTTTCTCTTTTTTTATTCGTTCGTATTCAATCCATGCTGGGAAACGGGCCCACCGAAAAAAAGAAACAAAAACAAACAAACAAAAAGGGGCCCAGCGTCCCTTCCATCACTGACCGGGGTCGGTGTGCTGAGCAAGGCACTCCGACCAAGCACAGATCCCTGACGGTCTCCGTTGACACGCATACAAATGGAAAGATGGTCCAAATTCAAAACGAGAATAAAAAAATATTCCGTTTCTTTCCTTTTCGTTTTTGAAAGGGCGACGGCCCCAGGCAATTCAGAAATTCACTCAACTACTACCGGTAGTTCCACTCAACCACCGGTAGTTCCATCATATATAGATTCGTACTCAGGTCTGCATTTGGACAGTTCAGGGGTGTACCAACTGAGCTACCTTCTTCCCCCGAATACAACGTACGGTCGTTATAGCTGTATTTGACGTATCTTTCAGTCTAGATACAGCTATAATGACCGTACGTACGTTGTATTCGGGGGAAGAAGGTAGGCCCATTGCTACAGCAAGAAATTGTGTTCTCAAAGAAAAGAAAAATAAGGAAGGAAAAAGAACTACAAAATGAGTCAAACGTGCAGACAGCCAGGGCCGAGGTCCCATTAGCAAAGAGGATCGGATCGAATGCCTGAATGTGGACTTGTTTTATGCAGAGATGCAGAAAAGCAGTTCAATCTCGATTTCCTGCACCTCTCGACAAACACGTCCAGATTCAGGCATTCGATCCGATCCTCTTTGCTAGTGGGACCACGCCCCAGGTGTACTACGACGCGAGACACAGCAGCGAGATTACAATTATTTTTCTTTTTCTTTTTCTTTTTCTTTTTCTTTTTCTTTTCTTTTTTTGTTCTTTTCTTTTTCTTTTTTTTTTTTCCTTTTCTTTTGTGCTTCTGTAACCTCACAGGATGCTTTTTGGTTAAAAAAAAAGGATGCTTTTTGGACTCTATCTTCATCTCTTGTGATTGAATTGAGTCGCGTCCTACGCTGGAACCGGGGCAAGGGGCCCCACTTGCGCAAATTAGGAGATTCCGGCCGTTGATCTTCCCCCGGTTTCCAGCAGGTGCGGCTCCCCACCAATAGACCGGAGCATTTAATTAATAAAAAAAAAAAAAAAAAGAATTGAGACGCGTCCTCCCATGTCGGCGGTGACGATATGCAGAGATTCAAACAAAGTCGAACAAAGTCCAAAACACGCGCGGCTAGACATATGGCAGGGGGCCCCTGCAGGGGTATTATCTGGCTGACAAGCCGTAGGTCGCGTGTTCGATACTTGGATTGGATGTGGACGGAGGAGGGTAGGAACGGAGTAGAGATACTATTTTGTAAACCTTTTTTGTTCACAAGACTAAACAAACCCGGAGAGAAGAGTGTCATCATAATGCAGGCGAAGCAGATATTTTCCACAAGACAAACAAAAAAAAAAAAAAAAAAAAAAACGGAGAGAAGAGTGTGTTCCAACTGTTCTAAGAAATAGCGTGTGTGGCCAATTCCTGCCTGAAATCCTTTTCTCCAGTGCCTGCACCTAAAGCTGGGTAATGGTCCGAGCATTGTTTTTTTTTTTTTCCGGGTTGTTTGTGGAGGAATTCCCGGCCTCCTTTCTGGTTATAATGAAATGCAAAGTTGGTTTAAAAAAAAAAAAAGAAAGAAAAAAAAAAGAAACAGCGTGTGATTGTTCTTTCGGGGCCAAGCGGACAAAGGGGAGGAAGGGGAAGAAAAAAAGGCAAAAATGAGGAGCATCAGAAACCAGCCCAATGGAACACCATTTCTCAAGCAAAAATAGAAAAAGAAGTAGCAGAAGAAGAACAGAAGAAGAAGACAAGACGAAGAAGAAGAAGTAGAAGAAGAAGGAAGAAGGAATCGAAGAGAAAACTCTGGACCATTTCTCAATTTATGCGTCATGCTTGCGCTCGGGCCATGCTCATCTGCTCTGTATGGTGGTTCCTGACGGCCCCAAAAAAACAACAACAACAACAACAACAACAACAACAACAACAACAACAACGAGCCTAGCTCAATTGGCACACCCAAAAAC